TAATAATCATATATTATTGTATTTATGAATAATTACTCAACAAATAAAATGCTAGCAATTTGCTGACAGATTGGCAACAAATTCGATCAGATATGACTGCAAATTCATAGCTATCTGTGTCCGCATTAGACTTGGGATTTATTGACAAAGTCTGTTGACATGCTATGCAAATTGATAGCAGAAATCGAGCAGAATCTGTTCACGTGGACAATTTGATGGTAGATTGGCGAAAAATCCTAGCAAGATTTTCGATTATGTCAATCTACTGATATAATATATCAGCAGATTTTGATCATATTTTTGTGACAATTTGCCGACATCATTAAATATTATTCTGCGTACAATTTGTTACCTTTCTGCCAATCAAATAAGCAGGTCTTGCTCAAAATCTGTCTCTGCTTTGCTATCAAGATAATTATTTGTTTATATAAATTTTCTATTGATAAAGAAAGATAGAAAATATTTAATATGTATTTATTTATAAATATTTTATTTGTGACATTACTCACACATACACACACGCGCGCACGCGCACATATGAGCAAAGTTTGCATACTACATATACAGAGTGTATCTTAAGTACGTAATAAAAGATTTTAAGGGGTGATTTCTCACACAAATTCCAACGAAAATTTCATATAATTGTATGTCCGAAACAGTACTTAGTTTCAAAGATACAGGATATAAAAAGTTGAAAAAAATTCATTTTGTCCAAAAATTTTAAAAACGGATTATTTTGATGAAATTTTGTATGTTTGAAGGACATGAAGGCTCTTTTGCTATCATATATCATTTTTTTATTTAATAACGAGTGGAAACAATAATAAGGGGTATTCTATTTTTAATGAAAAAGTGATAGGCCATTAATTGTTTTAAGTTTGACATTTTTTTATGATAAAGAAGATAATTTGGAACAAAGAAGATCTCTTCAATGTTTTCGATAGAATGAGCTATTCTTGAGAAAAAAATATAATTTAAATTTGTGAATTGAAAATGAACAAAGTCTTTGTGGCTAAATACTCTAAAAGATTTTAAGGAATGCTTTCTTACACAAATTCAAAACAAAAACTTTATATGATTATATGTTCAAAATGGCTTAATTTTAAAAATACAAGGTGTCCAATTTTTTTTCAATTTGGATATCCTGTACTTTTAAAACTAAGCCGTTCGGACATATGATCATGTGAAGTTTTCATCTTGAATTTATATGCGAAATCACGCTTTAAAATCATTTAGCGTAGTTACAATACATATATACTATTAATATATATGTTTGTTTAAAAGGATAAATAAAACAATCTTCAAAAGATTACTAAGATTATTAAAATATGTAAATATAAACGTAAAATTAAACTATCTAATTACAAATTAACTAATATGGACAATTAAAAGAATATCAATAAAGTTACAGCAATTGATACATATCAGTATAGATAAAAATTTTCCACCGTTTATTAAGTATGTCGTATGTTTAAGGAAATAAATGAAACTTATACTAGGTTCGATCAATTTTAACTATTTTCAAATGTATTCCGCCTATCGGTGATAATATAAAAGTCTTAGGATCATTTATGTATCGTTTCACAGTTTTCTCGCAAGTTTCAACTTTGTAGTTTCGTAACATCTTTATAAGTCCGATTTTGCTCTGATAAATGGCAAAGCGAGCACCTGAAAAGAAAAAATAGTCGTTATATAAATCAGATCAAAATTTAAATTTAAAAACATTTCCTGGCTGAAAATACTGGAAAAAAAATAGTAAATAATATTAAATTTATTCTATTGTACCAATACAATTTCTTGGTCCAGCGCCAAAAGGTAAATAGACCATCGAGTGCCTACTTTTCACAGCTTCATCATCAAATCTTTCTGGATCGAAAACGTCAGGCTCTGGATAAATGTTCGGATCTCGATGAATTGCGTAAGCAGGAATCGATACCATCATGCCTTTTGGTATACTAATTTTGGTATTCTCAAAGGTATAATTTGATGTAGCTTGTCTCATAAGAGTTGACAGTGGCGGGTATTTTCGCAAAGTTTCTGCGTTTGTTAAAAATAATGTTAAATATGAAAATATGTTTATTGAAAAATTATGATTAGATTCAATTTTATTAGTATTGATATTAGTATTAATATTAGTATTATATTATATTATAATTTCTTTGAAAAAAATACAAGAAAAAAATACAAGAACATATCTTATTTTTTCTTCATACCTTTGAAGACTTTATCCAAATAATCCAATTGTTTGATGTTGTCATATGTTAAGTGTTCACCATATTTCACATAGCTCTCGTCAATTTCTGCACGTAACTTGTCTTGTATTTTCGGATTTAATGCTAATTCATAGAGCGCATTACTCATAGTCGTTGATGAGGTTTCAAAACCAGCCAGGAAAAATACAAATGCTTGAGAAGCTATCAAATTATCCGTCAATTCTGTAATATTATTTCCTCTTCATTATAAACAATTTAATTCGCCCTTCAATTAATAAATCAAATTTATCAATTTATATATAAAAATTAATTAATTATATTTTAATAAATAAATATAAACATTATATAAAAATTATACATTATGTAAATCAAAATATTCAAACAAGGAAATAGGGAAATCAAGGAATAGGTAAATCAAGACATTACTTTTAGCAACTATTAATCTTTTAATTTTTAAATTTATTAAATAAATTCATGAAACATATAGTTTTTATTGTCACCTATGTATCGTTTATTTTATTTTACGATTTCTTAATTATATTCGAACTATTGTGTAGTTGAAATCTTATACAACACATTTTAACCGACGGATGTCTCGGAAACGTTAGGATGTTTATCTGTAGGATGTTCTCTGGACATTTCTAGAACATCCCTGGGAGATTTGTGTAGTATGGAATATAGTCATAATATATTAATATACATAAAAGTTAATTAATACTTGTATGATTTCATTATTTAGAAAATTGTTCCACACCAGGAAGAAACAATACATAGGTACTAATACTTACCGATATCATCCAATTGATCTGAATTTTTCTTTAATTCACGCAACGTATCAATGAAATCGTGCCTCGTAATGGTATTCATATCTCTGTATTCCATGCTCTCCATGATAACACGTGTAAAAAATTTGGTGCTTTCTGATTGTGGCAGAATGTAACCAAGTAAGTGATACAGTCCTGGTACTATTTCCCTCATTCTTTCTCGTATGACATTTGACCAGGTAGATTCAAAAAATTGTCTACCCATTTTACGAAATTCACTATCTTTATCCGACATTGAATTCATCTCGATACCGAAGGCGCAGCTACCGATAACGTCAGTCGTATATTTGGCCATTAACTCACGACATTCAATGAGTCCATTTTTACTTGCGACTTTTTCCGTATATTGTATAAGATGATCAGCGCATTCGGATATTAAAAAGAACATCTCCTTCAATTTGGCAGACGTAAAAACAGGCGACAGTTTTATTCTTAAGGGTCGCCATCTCTTCGGCTCCAACAAGAAAAGATGTAGCGGTAAAGGATCGGTCTGCAATATAACAAAATGAGAATTGTGATCAAATTTAGGTATCGGAGAATATTTAAGTTACAGAAACTTATATTTTAATGCAAATCTCATAATTTTTATTGCGCCAAATTATTCGAAAAATATAGGAGCATACAAAATCCAGAGTAAGCTATCTTGAGTAAGCTATCTTTTAATTAAGTTAAATTAAAAATTATATGGATAAAAAATTAATTTAATTAAAATTAAATTAAAATTATATTATATTAAATTAATTTAAAATTTAACCTTAGAAAATATTATTTATATTATAAAACAACATAAAATTAGTTAACTTTAAAAGATAAAAGATTTTTATTCAATTTTAATAAAATATTTAGAAAACCGTGCACATGTCTCTCATTTATGCTTCAAAAAAATTGTATAAAATAGATATGATAGTCTTACCTTTTCAAAAGTGGGTATTCCTCTACTAGCAAATGTAGAAAAATTTTTAATGAGGACATCCTTAATTAAATCTGGATCTTTTATTATAAGAACAGGTGTCTTTCCTAGTGTATATTTCCAACCATTTGGTTCATTCTTTGTAGTCATTATATACTTTCAT